TTGGGGGTTAATCCAGATCAGGAGTATTACATAACACCTGATAGCCAGGACATTTTAATTTGTATACAGGAGCATCGCGAACTGTGCCCATTGAGTACGCCTGTGTACCCAGCATCGGCTGTACACTCTTGTGAAATTGCACTGTTCCGCAATTTCACACAAGGAATAATCGATTATTGTACACGTATGGTCACATTTTCAGTTTCGCCAGTCCCCACCGCATATGAGTCAGGGGGCAGATTTCAAAAAGAGCTAAAATAAGGATGAGCCTAAACTTTTTGGGTAGAGGCTGGAAACGGGTAAATATCATTTCTAGGATACTTGGGTAGTTTCACTGGGTATGTTTTCAGGCTGACTTTTGCGTATTGTGGCGGCCATCTTGAAATCCAAAATGACCGCCAGCGAAAATGGATTTTCTGAAATATCTGGACTCCCAGACGTCGTAGAGACATAATGGTGGTGGCTATACCCACATTTTCGATAGTTGAGAACCCAATTATCACACCTAGAGAAACATAGGATGGCGGCCATATTGGATTTCAAGATCGCCGCCAGTGAAATTTGTTTATTTTGAATAACTAGACTCCAAGACGTCGTAGAGACATAATTTTGGTGTCTAAACCCACATTTCGGATAGTGGAGAACCCAGTTATGACACTTAGAAAAACATAGGATGGCGGCCATCTTGGATTTCAAGATCGCCGCCAGTGAAATTTGTTTATTTTGAATAACTAGACTCCAAGACGTCAACACGACCAGTAAATTCCGCCGAGTGATGAACCTAAGGCTCTTTCACCTCCTAACCTTGTAGTGTCACAACCCCCCAGTGTAGTGTCAATGCCCACGCACATGATTACGACATCATCTGGACAGCCATAACGAGATGCCAATTGACTTAGTTAGACATCTTGAGCAAAAATATACTATTATGACTTTCGATGAACAACTGTACTGCAAGGCAAAATTGCTCCAATGGGATTCCAAACACGAATCTCTTTGAAGGATGTCGTAGTGATGCTCGGAGGATTTCACATACAACTAAACTTCGCAAAAGTCATTGGTCAACATATGGCTGACTCGGGCCTAGAAGATATATGGATCGAGAGTGGTGTTTTCGGATCCAATACTGCAGCAAATATAATGAAAGGAAAAATGTGGAATCGCATATTCCGTGCACACAAACTGACATTTGAAGCTTTGTGGATTACATTATATCCACAGCTTCTGGCGTGGGCTAAAGAATCAGAACTCGACATTGATGTTGATGAACTAATGGTTCTCTCGATGAAAGTTATCCATGACATGAACAATGACGATGACAACAAACCTGAATCCTTGAACATATTGGTGTCAAAGTGTGAAGAGCTCATTCGTCTTGTCAGGAAATACGATGATGCACATTCCGATGACCCGACTTTGGTGATGTGGAGGCAGTATATGAAACTCGTCTGCATCCTACTTTGGTTTACACGAGCATGTGGAGATTGGCATCTGTATCTCTCGTCATTTGCGGAAATGCTACCGTGGTTCGCGATATATGACCATATTAACTACAGCAGATGGGGACCGGTGTTTCTCGCTGAGATGAAACAACTGAGTAAAACTGCACCAGAGGTATACAGAGGATGTCGTCAGGGTGACTTTGTGGTGAAAGAAACAAAGCATACATTCAATCAACTTCCCGATGACCAAGGTCTTGAACATTTCAACAAACTTGGGAAAGTTGCTGGAGGTCTTATTGGCATTACGCAAGATACCTCTGCCTTACATCGATGGAGTATTACCTTCAACGAAAGGGCTAGACTAGCAGAGGATACATATTCCTTGTTCGGAATACATCAGGAAGACAATGAAAGTGAATATGGCCACAAAGAGTGTAGCCCTTCATGACTAGTACGGGATAGGTCTGACATGAATAAAATAGCTGAACAGTTACAACGCTTTGCTGCATTCAGTCCACAGAGTGAACTCATCCAGATTGCCACAGGAGATGTTGCTACAGATGACATTAAATCAGACATATGTGGTGCTAAGACGAAAGGGCTGGAACAACTAAAATCATTTGTAGACACTCGCCTCATACCAGCAAAAGGCTTTCATGATACCATTACGAAAAACAGGTCAAAAACAATAACCTCGATATATAAATCTGAAACACAGAGAAATACACCGAAGGCAAACGTGAAATCGGACCGCGAACTATTCCGTCGTCTGTTAACGACAAAGGAATCTGGACGAGAAGTAGATATGGAGAAAATGCTTCACCAGGAATTTTGTGTAGTTCCTCTATCACTTTGCACATCAGACGGCAAGTTGCGAAAAGCGGACAAATCGCAACTAATGAATATTCTGTCGAAAGATGCATCCCAGCCAGATTTTTATAATATATGGTTAGGGTTAGTCATAAATAGCTAAACGAGCCAGGTCAAACAGAGGTCAGGGGGACATAGACCCTACGAACGTTGCTTGTGTTGTGACGTATGTAACTATGTGATATTTGAAAGCGTTAATAAATTCCAAAATCTAATCTAATATACTTAATATAAACTAAACATTCAAGAAGGACCAACAAAATAGTGACCATAACCTAATGATCGAACAAGCCGATCATCATTTCACCCTTGTCAATCTCAGATTCTGTACCTTCTGTAACAACACTTCAATAGATCATGTGTATTATTTAAAAGTCACGCACCCGGTGTAGGATGCATGATTCGGTGACGTTTGTAAAACGTCTCAACTCGGCTGCCACACTCGATACCCTGTCCCCGACCCATGCAGTATTTCGTGTTTAAAATCGTTTTACATCTAACTGTTGACTCTTGGTTGTTCGCCGCAAATACCCTACCATAACATAAGTAGGTACTATGTATTACTATCTAAATTGTCTGGCTCTCATGAAATGACACCCATCTGCTAGTTATTCATGCAATACTGCCTGAGCCTTCCTATTGCATTTGGCTTTCTCTTGTAGAAGTTCTCGTGTTTCAAACTTGAAATAATAATGCAGACGGTATCTCAGGGATAGGTGAACCAACTGCTTTACGATAAAAGTGTTAATTCAAAACGAACTTTTTTTTCAGTTCAAACAACCCCTTTCCCCGACATCGCCGAGTATGACTAATAGCTCTTTGAAGTTCTGTTTGGGAGTTGGCCCAACTTGCAAGGAACCGCGGCCAGCCATCGGATACATACCCGGAGGCGGCGTGCCACCTTCGCCACCTCCCGTCATATTCGCATTTGCAGACGATGACACAAAATGTGACTCATGGGACGATTACTATGAACAGCTTGAGGTGTTTGAGTATCTCCATCCGGGATGCAATATCGTTAACGATAATGTTGTGAACAAACAAAAAAAAGAAGAAAAACGCTTTCTTATTTCCTATCCCCTTTTGCTTCTAACAATGTGCACAAACGTTTTCTTTTCAATTACCTATTTGTTGGTGACAACTCCTGCCGCTAGGCGGTTTAACGCGGTTACGCGGTGCACTACTTTAGCAGCGCAGCAGCGCATTGATACAGCCAAGTTGCTAGGTGAGGTGACGCGCGCTTTCTTTTTCGCCCTTGTCACAGGCACTTGGACCGTTTCAATAATAAAATGATGGTTAATAAATACAACTTGTCAGTACTACTAGTACTACAGTACCAGCAATAGTCTTAATGTTTGATTTGACCTAATAACTTCACTTCAACACCGTTAAATACACCGATGCAACACATAGCCCGCACGCCATTGTGCATGCACAAATACACAGTAGGTTAGAGAAGGTAAGAAAGCGTTTTCACAGAAATTCCAGACCGCTCCACTCTTGTCGATGCACTAGAGACGAAATAAACGTCCAAACGCCATGATATTGGCATCTGTGTGTAGCTGAATGATCACTTGTTCGAAATATACGTCTTGCAACATGGTACCACATACTTTACCCAGAATTATATGAGAAATCCTGCTCAAATTTGCCGCAAATTTCCCATGAAGCCGATTTGTAAACCGGACAAGTACATGAGCAATGGCGGCGCATTGCATTCTGGGAGCAAAATTGCAGTAGAACCACCAATTCTACTGCAATTTTGCTCCC